CAGGCAGGCAGGCAGGCAGGCAGGCAGGCAGGCAGGCATGCAAGCAGGCAGGCAGGCAGGCAGGCAGGCAGCAGGCAGGGAAGCAGCAGGCAGGCAGGTAGGCAAGCAAAAAGGAAGCTCCTGCCAGTCGTCGCACGCTTGTCTCAAGGCTGAGCCAGCTTTCCAAGGTCATCTTTGAGCAGCCACTGAGGCACATCTTTTTTGCAAGAAACCTGGTTGTCTCACACGCTTGTCTCAAGAACTCGCCTGCGTCCGAGCCCAAAACGACGGAAGAGCCTTTGATGGGAAGGAAAAGCAAGGCAGGCCGCACCGTAAACCCTCCATTCTTGCTTGAAGGACAAGTTTAGGAGCAAAGGATGTTACATCCCCGCGGTGGGGAAATCCGTTGTTTGGGGGGCCGCGCCAGTCCTTTCCCCAAAACCTCCGACTTGCTCTCACAGCGCTGTTGTAGCCTCGGCCGCTAAAGGGCAGCTTAGTTTAGGAAGCCTAAACCCTAAAAGGCGGAGCGTGGAAAGGGCGGGAGCCGCTCGAACGGCGCGGGCGGGAAAAGAAGCGGGGCGGCCGTTCAGGCCCCCGCTCTCGTAAGCGCTCTAGCGGGAAGCCCGAACGGCCAGACAGTCTACAAAGACATGTCAAGGCTGCTTAAGACTCAAATCCAAGTATCTTCTACGCGCCACCGAGCGCAAAACCCTAAACCCTAAACCCTAAACCCTAAACCCTAAACCCTAAACCCTAAACCCCTAAACCCCTAAACCCCTAAACCCCTAAACCCCTAAAACCCTAAACCCTAAACCCTAAACCCTAAACCCTAAACCCTAAACCCTAAACCCTAACCTAGGGGGTCCACTCTCCGGCGGCCGTTTAGGCCGCCGATGTAAACCCCCACGCCGAAGTGCTTGGAACCCGCGCTGCGAGCCTATGCCAGAACTGCAATGGAACAAGCAAGCAACGGGGCTAGAACGGGGTTCGAGGTCAGTACTGACCTTTGTATAGATAGTTAAACCCTAAAACCTACCATCAAGCCTCTCCGGAGGATCCTCCAAGGGGTCGTCTTGAGACCACGATCTGGAGCTCGATTCCTTCCAAAACAGAGGCAGGGCGCACTTCCGGGCATTCTTGGTGCAAAAGCTTGCTTTCTTGAAGTTTCTTGCGAAGCAGCGTGTTTCCTGCAAAGGAAGTAGTCATATGCTTGTCTCGCGGGCAAAGCCAATGATTGCAGAGCTTTTGAAATCGAAGGAACCTCAGGGTTTCTTCAAAACAGCGTGTTTACTGCGAAGGAACCTCCTGCCAATAGTCATATGCTTGTCTCATGGGCTGAGCCAAGCAGTGCTCGTGGTTCCAGCTTTCTCTTGAATTTTCTTGCAAAACAGCGTGTTTCCTGCAAAGGAAGCTCCTGCCAGTAGTCATATGCTTGTCTCGCGGGCAAAGCCAATGATTGCAGAGCTTTTGAAATCGAAGGAACCTCAGGTTTCTTCAAAACAGCGTGTTTACTGCGAAGGAACCTCCTGCCAGTAGTCATATGCTTGTCTCATGGGCTGAGCCAATCATTGCTCGTTCTCTTGAAGTTTCTTGCAAAACAGCGTGTTTTCTGCGCCGGAACCTCCTGCCAGTAGTCATACGCTTGTCTCATGGGCTGAGCCAAGGATTGAGTGGGCAAACCCAATGATTGCAGGGCGCAAAAGGCTTGCTTTTGGAATGGTGCGAGCGCACTTCCAAGCTTTTTGGCGCAAAAAAAACGCTTTCTTGAAGCCTCGTGCGAGCAGCTTCCTGCGCAGGACACCTGGTTGATCCTGCCAGTAGTCATACGCTTGTCTCTATTCGCCGAAAGGCCCTTGCCCGGCGCCGAAAACTGTGGACGGCCGCCCCCTGGGCCGGAATCGACGAACGGCCGCCCCCCAGCGCGGACGGCCGCCCCCGCGCTGAAAAACGGCGGACGGCCGCCCCGGCGCCGCAAAACGGCGGACGGCCGCCACCCCGAGCCGAAAACGCCAGTCGGCCGCCCCGCCTTGCCGAAAACGGCGGACGGCCGCCCCCCCTTGCCGAAAGCGGCGGACGGCCGCCCCCCCGGGCCGAAAACGGCGGACGGCCACCCCCCGCCGGCGGACGGCCGCCCCCGGAATTGGAAGCACTCAGCCCGACGGACGGCCGCTTTTAGGGGCGGCCGTCCGCTGCAGGGGGGGCGGCCGTCCGTCGAGGCCGCGGACGGACGGCCACCCCTGCGGGCGGCCGTCCGCCAAAAACCGGCTTCGGGCGCTCGGCGGCTCCCCGTGATAGTCTGCCTGGAGAAGCGCGCGCGGCCGCGGCCCGGTAGTAGCACGGCGCTAGCGCGGGCAAAGAGTTGGGCGACGGACCGCGCGCGGCGCCGGAGCCCGCGGCCGGCAGCGACGGGGCCCTGGCGAGCTAAGTCGGGGGTCGCTAAAACAAAACATTAAGTGAACATGTCATTGGGGCGATGTCGCAAGATTTCCTCGCTCGGAATTTTTACTTTGCGCTTTTTGGGGACGGAGGCGCAAAAAAAATTCCAGCGGCGGAATCGCGCGGCTCGCCCGCCCTGTTGAACTTCAAGTGATCAAAAGAGTGTGTAGGATTGTTCCCTATGTCGAACTCGAAACTGGTTTGGCTCCGTTTTTGACGCCCCTCCCCTGTCAGGACTGCTCCAGCGGGCGGCGTGGCCGAGAACGCCTTGGGCGGCGGTTGCTGGCGCTGGAAGGCGATTGGCCCACGCCCGTCGTCTCGTCGTCGCCCTTGTTGTCGTTTTTTTGGTTTTCTCGTTGCTGCGGCCTTTCATTGCGTTGTTGTTGCTGTTAGGCTAGTTCAATGTTTCGATGCGTGCCGCTCGACGTCTCTTGCTCTTGTCAGGACCTGGCTCCTCGTTCGCTCGCTGGTCACTGGCAGCCGGCGGAGGCTTTCTTTGGCAACCGCGGCTGGCCGCCTCGACGACCGCTCTTGTGAGGGGCTAGAGATCTTTTTTAATCTTCTGTGTCACTGAACCGATTTGCGGCAAAGCTTCTAGAAAAATAGCGCGGCCGGGGCTTCGAAGGTTTTGGGGGGCCCAAGAGTTGACTGCAGGGTGTTTCGATTAGCGCCAGTTTGCTTGATCTGCTGAGAAACCGACCGCTTGCTCGGCTCAAGTCAGTCCGGCCACAAGAAAAGAAGACAACATTGCAAGCTGTCAGGCTCTAGCGCAAGGTTGCGCATTTCTAGGAGCTTGACACTGCAGCTGCTCATGGCAATGAAGCGACCGGCAGCCGGCGCCCGGAAGCGCCCCGCGGCGGCCGCTGCGCCTGCGCCTGCGCCGCGTGCGGGCAGCCGAAACCGCCTCTGCGCGGCCGAAGGGTGCAAGTTCAACCCGCAGCGCTCGGGGCAGCGCGCTGAGGTCCTGCAAGGCAAAGACTTTGACCGGTGCATCGTCTGTGGCCCCGACGCTTTCCGGGAGGCCGCTTCCACGGGCAAGGGCGGTGGAGTCATTGCCCGCTTCCTCAACAAGCTGGCGAAGGCGGACCCAGGCGCCTTTGAGGAAGCCGTTGTCAAGCTGAAGGCGGAACACCCCCTGGAGACAGTCCAAAAGTACGAGAAGCAGGCGCGCCGGAAGGCGCGGGAGGCTGCGGGCAGAGAGGCTGAGGCAGCGTGCGCCCCGCGCCACCGCCTGTGCGCGGGGCAAGGCTGCAAGTTCAATGTGGCCTGCCTGGGCGAGCGCGCGGAGGTGCCGCGGAACACTGACTTCCGCCTCTGCGTGATCTGTGGCCCTGACGCTTTCCGGGAGGCCGCGAAGGGGCAGGGAGCGGCAAGGTTCCTGAACAAGCTTGCCAAACTTGACCTTGGCGTGTTCGAGGAGGCGGCCGCAAAGCTGAAGGCGCAGCACTCGGAGGATGTGGTTGGCTGGCTTGTGGAGCGGGCTCGGCGCAAGGCACAGCCTGCGGCGCCAGGGCGCAAGCTGGAGACAGACTGGCAGCAGCTGCTGCTCTGGCGGCAGCGCGGCTTCCGCCGCACCGCAGCCCAGAAGGCTGCGTTTGCGAAGGCTGCCAAGAATGGCAAGAGAAGGCTGGCCCGCAAGTTCCCTGCGGTGTACGGTGTGGCCTCGCGGCCAGACACGGCCTGGGCGACAACGCGAGCCCAGCGCTTCCGCGCTTGGTGTCTCTCGAAGTCCTGGCGGATGTGCGGCCAATGCGGCCGAATGGTTGCGCAGCCCTTCAAAGCGCAGCACGCTGCGGGCCGGGATCGGGCGCCGGCTGAGACGGCGGCCTGCCAACATTGCAAGTCGGAGGGCCGGCAAGGGTACTGGTCGCCGCTCCCGCAGGACCAACCAAGGCGGCTTCGCAACCTGAAGCCTGAGGTGGTGGAGGCTCTCCGCCCGCTGAACATCCACGCTGGGCCGCAGCAGCGGATGCCGCACGGCTACGCCGTGCACGGGGACATGCTGCGCTTCTCCTTCAAGCCCCAGGGCGTCCTCGAGCAGGTGGACCTGCTGCCGAAGAAGTTGAAAAAGAAGGCGAAGAAGGCGCTCAAGCACTTGCTGCGGAGTGAGGACAACGCCTACGGCGAGTTCCTTGAGCTGCACTACAAGTTCCTTCACACGCGGGCACGGGGCATCGAGCGGGGCGAGGTTGCTGCGGGCGAACCGGTCAAGCGTTTGCCGGCCAGCTTCCTCGAGACCCCCGGCCTCGAGAATTGCCTATGGCCTCACCTGTACTGGCTGCGCTCCATGTGCGAGACTGCCGTACGCTCGGAGGATGTGCGCCGACTGCGGCGGCGGCCCGGCGCGGCTGCGGGGCAAGGCGGCGACTCGGAGGAGGACGGCGAGGAGGGCGGCGAGGAGGCGCCGGTAGAAGGCAGCCGCCAGAGTGCCAAGGCCAGCTTCTTGGCAAAGATCCGCAGCGCCCTTGTCGGCTACTCCGAAGAGCCGCTGCTGCTGCAGTTTGTGTGGGATCTGTGGATGTGGTCCGGCATCGGGGGTGCGCGGAACGCGTCTGGGCTGCGGGTCCGCGAGGCGCTTGCCTCAAAGCCTTACTCGCCTGAGATCTGGAAGGCGAACCACATGGCCTTGGTGGACCTGCAGAAGCAGATTGGGTGGCCGGCCCTCTTCATCACGATCAGCCCATATGAGTACTCCTTCCCGTACCATGAGTGGCTGACGGATGAGCTCGAGAAAGCCTGCGCCCAGCGGCTCCACGCCCCAGCAGCAGAGACCTTGCACATTGCGCATGTGCTGTCACAGGCCGTCGCCGGGCTTCTGGCTGGCGCCAACGACGGTATCGAAGCCAAGGCGGAGCATGTCTTCGCTGCCGCCGACCCGGAGCAGCTTGCCGCCGGCAACAACCCGGTCAGGCACTGGGTGGCGCGCTTGGAGTTCCAAGATGGTAAGCGCGCCCGCCACGTCTGGCGCGATCCGCGCTTCTACCACGGGAGCGGCCGTGTCCACGTTCACGTGCTGGTGTGGTTGAGCAAACTCAGCGGGTTGGGCTTGGAGAACAAGATCCGCGCAGACCTGCCCAAAAAGGAGGCGGAGCCAGAGCTGCGGGACTTGGTCCAGGGGTCGCAGCTGGATTGGGCATCGAGTGGCTGGCCGCAGCGGGAGAGGCCCACGGCGGTGGAGCGGGCGGGCGAGGGCGCAGAGTTGCTGCGGCTCCATCACCCCGAGGACGCCTTCGAGGCGCACTGCCGGGCCTATGTGGTGGACATCTTGGCAGCGCTCCACTGCCACGTCGACGTGCAGGCGTCGGACGGCAAGGCCATGCTGCTCAAATACTGCGCCAGCTACCTGCCAAAGTTCAGCGACAGTTTCGCGGCGGAGCTGCTGAACGACCAGGCCACCGACTTCGCGCTGGCGCGGCGCATCCTGGCGGACTATCATCCGCTGCAGCCAGAAATGGTGCTGCAATTGGCGGCGCAGCAGCTGCCCCAATTTCTGACGAAAGCCGTCGTCAGAAAGATCAGCGTGCCGCTGCCGTGGCGCGACCGGGGCGGCCTGCCGCTGCCCAAGTGGCTCGCCAACTACATGACCTGCACCTGGCGGGCGCCGGCGATGACCTGCCTTGAGTTCTTGCGCAAGGCTGGCCCCGACGGGCAGATCCAGCAGCGCTACCGCCGCATCCACAAGCACCTGCGCGTCGAGGCCCCGCTTGAAGAGTGGATCAATGTCTGCGCCGAGTCGGGGGAGGTGCTGGTGTCGCCCGTCTTCTACACGCGCCTGGGCGACGAGTACTGCGGGCAGTGGCTGTTGCTCAACGTCCCCTTCTTGGCGCTGGATGACCTGTGGCTCCGCCGCGCGCTGCGCGTGCCGGAGCGGCTGCGGTTCCTGGCGCTGTGCCTGCTGCACAAGCCTGCCTACTGGCGCAGCCCGGCCCGCGTTCGCGCCGACCTGGAGCTGGAGGCCCGGGCCGAGACCTACATCCGGAACGCGCTGGACATGCTGGCGGCCAGGATCGAGCTTGTGGACGCCTACTTGCTTGGGGAGCTGCGTGTGGAGGACGACCGTGTGCCCGACGCGGCCGCGGCCGCTGATGGCTTCCTGGACCCGGCGCAGCTGGCGCCCGAGCAGGAGCTGGCCCGGCGCAACGTGGTTGCCGCGGCTGCCGCGGCGGTTGCGGCCAAGTGGCCCGACGACGGCGCCGACCCGGCTGCCTGGGAGCCCTGGCTGGCGGCGCAGGGCGGCCGCGCCAACCGCGTCTTCGCGGTTCTCGGGCCCGCCGGCAGCGGCAAGACGAGCGCAGTGGAGCTCGCGATCGCGCAGGCGGTCCAAGCCGGGGCGCATGTTGGCGTGGCCTGCCCAACTGGCATGCTGGCTGCGCGCTACCGGCGCCGCTTCCCCGACCTGGATGTGGATACGATCCACGGGATGTTCTCCCTCTTCAAGGCGGAGCTGCAAACGCTGGAGATGATGCTCGTCTACGACCTGGTCGTCATCGACGAGGTGGGCCAGGTTCCGCTCTGGATCTTCGAGCGGTTGCTGCGCCTCTGGGACGCCGCTGGCCGGCGCCCAGCTCTGGTCTTTGTCGGGGACTTCGCCCAGCTCCGCGGCGCTGACGGGACCTGCGCGAAGCAGAGCGCGCGGTGGCGCGAGGTGGTTGTCTACCCCCTCACCCGGATGCGGCGCTGCCAGTGCCCTGCGCTCCGCTGGAAGCTCGAGCTGCTGCGCGGCGCCACGCCTTCCGGGACGCAGCTCAAAGACATCCTGCGGGGCCACCGCGCCCCGAGCGGCCTTGCGGCGGAGAACCAGGCCAACCCGACCTTGAACGATGTCCGCCAGATTCTGCGGGAGACGCCCAACACCCTGATGCTGACAATTACGCGCCGCGGCGCGGACAAGCTCAACCGCCTGGCCATTGAGGCCTTGTTCGGCGACTCCCCCGCGCTGCAGTGGCTGCCCTGCGACCCCGACGCGAACCTGGCCAACTTCCACGGGTCCTGGCAGCTGGGCGCGGAGCCGGCGTGGCTGCCGCTCCACCACGGCGCGCGGGTGACGCTCACGCGCAACTTGGACAAGGCCAACTCCTTCGTGAATGGGATGATGGCCACTGTTCGCGGGGCGCGGCAGAACGGGGTGGAAGTGTTGACGGACTCGGGGGTTGTCCTGCTGATCCACCCCTACACCCAGGACTTTGAGTTGGCGGACGGTCAAGTTGCTCGCAGCACCTTCCACCCGCTGCGCGCGGGCTACGCGACCACGCTGATGAAGATCCAGGGCGCGACTGTGGACCATGCAACCATCTGGCTGGACGCGGTCTACGTCCAGGCGGCGGCCTACGTGGCCATCAGCCGCGTCCGCAGGGATGCGGATTGGCGCTTTGTGGGCGCGGTCACCCGGCGCCACTGCGTGCCAGCCCAGGTGTGAGAGGACCGCGGGGGCGCGCGCTTCGTTGTTCCAAAAAAAAGAAGAAGCGACGTGTAGGCCGTCGGAAAGGTAAAGTTTAGGGAAGCCTAAACCCTAAAAGGCGGAGCGCGCAAAGGGTGGGGGCCGCTCTCTCGGCGCTGGGTGGGAAAATTGGGCGGGACGGCCGTTCAGGCCCCCGCTGTCGCCCGCGCTCAATCGCTGAGCCCAAGCGGCAAGACTGCCTTGACTAAGCGCATGTCAAAGCTGCCGAAAAACTTACAGCCAAACTTCTTCCACGCGCCGCCGAGCGCAAAACCCTAAACCCTAAACCCTAAACCCTAAACCCTAAACCCTAAACCCTAAACCCTAAACTTCTTTTTCTATATTAATTAAAACCCTAAAGGAATTTTAACCCGTCTCGCTAGCATCTTCAATTGCCAATGGCCGTTTTATCATCGCCTCGCTAGCATCTTCAATTGCCAATGGCCGTTTTATCATCGCCTCGCTAGCATCTTCAATGGCCAATGGCCGTTTTATCATCGCCTTGCTAGCATGTACAATGGCAAATAGCCGTTCTATCAAGGACTAGCTTCAAACTGTTGCTTCTGAAGCTCCAAATGGCCAGTTCTCTACAATTGAACTAAAACGAAGTCTTTTTTATACAAAATTTATCAACAAACAGCAACTTCCAGGGCTGTCTCCAAAATGTTGCTTCTGGAGCTCCAAATGGCCAGTTCTGCACAATTGAATTAGTGCAGCCGCGAGCGCTTCCAACGCAGCCAGCAAACGGCCGACGGCTCGCTGCCGATGGCTCGCCCTCAAAGCAGATCGCCCGTGCGTCGCCTCCTTTTTGCGTTCTTATGAAGGCGCCCGTGGCGAGTCGACGACGTGGCCAGTGCGACTGCCCCTCGAGCGAAAGCTTCGGGCTCCAACCGTCGCAGATGTACCTTCAAAGCGGGGAACGTTTCTGCAGACTCAGCGATGAAGTCGCAGCAGCCTCCCCGTCGCTCAAGTTTGCAGCCGTCAGCCCCTTGCCGGCCATGTCAAAATGTCGTTTCTGGAGTGCAAAGTCTCTACAGAATAAAACGCTGCTGACTTATTTGCCGCTTGGCGAAATCGCTGTCTCCGTCCGTTTTGGAGCTGCTAAATTCAAGCAAAGAAGCAATGGCCGGCGCACAAACTTTTTCAAGGTGCAAATAAGGGCTTTCAAACGTCTGGCTGGGGCTTCTTTTTCGCGCGATCAAGCCTTGCCTTACAAAACGCCTGGGGGGTCCAATTTAATGACCCTAAACCCTAAACTCCAGCCGCCTCGGCGCGCCGCCCCGCGACCCTCTGGGTCGAGGCGCGCCGCTTCCGAGGGCAAACCCTAAACTAACGCGCCCATGAATAGGGCGCGTCTGCATTTCATCCTTTTACGGCCGATGGCGGCCGACAAGCTTTAGCTTGGAGGCTTCTAGCTGGAATCCAAGCATTGCCTTATGGGCATCCTCAAGAAACTTATAAGATATACCCTAAACTGTAGACACAAGACCCGGAAAGTTCCCGCTTGAATCCTCTTTGAAGCGCTGTTGCCAGCCCTAGTGTCCTGACGGCCCCGAAGTAAAGAACCTTGATACGCTTCTTATAAAGCTTCTTATACAGCTCCTTATAAAGCTTCTTATAAAGCTTCTTATAAACATTCTTAAAAAGCTTTTTGTAAAGCTTCTTCTAAAGCTCTTATACAGCTGGCCGTTTTATCAAGCGCGATGGCCGCTTTATCAAAGCCAATGGCCGTTTTATCGAGACCAGGCAAGCCCTTTTATCAAGAAACGACTTGATAAAACATCGATTTTGGCCCGGCCAATGATAGTGTGGAATTCGCAATCCGCGGCTCAAATCTGGATGTTTTGCCGCTTGGCTGCTTCTGCCGTGATAAACGGTCAAGGCCTTGATAAAACGGCCATTGGACCTTGCCTTTATAAAACTGCTCTTGGACCTGCTTTTGCTGAAAATAGCTTGGCCCGGCCGCTGATAAACTGATTGTGCGGGATAATATGGACTTTGCAATCCGCGGCCGAAATCTGGATGTCTAGCCACTTGGCTGCTTCTGCCTTGATAAAACGGCCAAATAAAACTGCCATTGGACATGGCCTTGATAAAACTGCTGTTAACTGCTTTTGCTGAAAATAGCTTGGCCCGGCGGCTGATAAACTGATTGTGCGGGATAATATGGAATTTGCAATCCGCGGCCGAAATCTGGATGTGGCTGCTTCTGCTTTGATAAAACGGCCAAGGCCCTGATCGAACGGCCATTGGGCCTGGCCTTGATAAAACGGCTATTGGGCTCGCTTTTGGCGGCTTGGCCCGGATGCTGATAAACTGATTGCGCGGGCTAAGATGGAACTTGCAATCCGCGGCTCAAATCTGGATGTCTGGCAACTTGGCTGCTTCTGCCTTGATAAAACGGCCAAGGCCTTGACAAAACGGCCTTTGGACATGGCCTTGATAAAACGGCTATTGGGCTTGCTTTTGCTGAGAGTAGCCGCTGATAAACTGATTGTGCGGGATACTAGCGAAAATGCAATTTGTCGCTGAAACCTGGAGGTCTGGCCATCCGGTTGCTTCTGCTTTGATAAAACGGCCATTGGGCCTCGCGTTGATAAAACGGCCATTGGGCCTGCTTTTGCTGAGAATAGCTTGGCCCGGCCGCTGATAAACTGATTGTGCGGGATAATACCAAAATTGCAATTTGTCGCTGAAATCTGGAGGTCTGGCCATCCGGTTGCTTCTGCTTTGATAAAACGGCCATTGCGCCTCGCGTTGATAAATCGGCCATTGGGCCTGCTTTTGCTGAGAATAGCTTGGCTTGGCCGCTGATAAACTGATTGTGCGGGATAATACCAAAATTGCAATTTGTCGCTGAAATCTGGAGGTCTTGCCATCCGGTTGCTTCTGCTTTGATAAAACGGCCATTGCGCCTCGCGTTGATAAAACGGCCATTGGACCTGCTGTTGCTGAAAATAGCTTGGCCCGGCCGCTGATAAACTGATTGCGCGGGATAATATGGACTTTGCAATCCGCGACCGAAATCTGGAAGTCTAGCCACTTGGCTGCTTCTGCCTTGATAAAACGGCCAAGGCCTTGATAAAACTGCCATTGGACCTTGCCTTTATAAAACTGCTGTTGGACCTGCTTTTGCTGAAAATAGCTTGGCCCGGCCGCTGATAAATTGATTGTGCGGGATAATATGGAATTTGCAATCCGCGGCTGAAATCTGGATGTCTAGCTACTAAGCTGCTTCTGCCTTGAAAAAACGGCCGAGGCTTTGATAAAACGGCCATTGGACCTGGCCTTGATAAAACGGCCATTGGGCTCGCTTTTGGTGGCTTGGCCCGGATGCTGGATTGCGCGGGCTAAAATGGAACTTGCAATCCGCGGCTCAAATTTGGATGTTTGGCCACTTGGCTGCTTCTGCTTTGATAAAACGGCCAAGGCTTTGATAAAACGGCCATTGGACATGGCCTTGATAAAATGGCTTGGCCCGGTCGCTGACAAACTGATTGCGCGGGATACTATGGAACTTGCCACTTGGCTGCTTCTGCCTTGATAAAACGGCGAAGGCCTTGATAAAACGGCCATTGGACCTAGCCTTGACAAAACGGCCATTGGGCCCGCTTTTGATGACACACTGATTGCGCGAGGTAATATAGAACTTGCAATCCGCGGCTCAAATCTGGATGTCTGGCCACTTGGCTGCTTCTGCCTTCGTAAAAAAAGGCCAAGGCCTTGATAAAACGGCCATTGGGCCTGGCCTTGATAGAACGGCCATTGGACATGGCCTTAGAACGGCTGTTGGGCCGGCTTTTGCTGAAAATGGCTTGGCCCCCGCTTCCTATGGCTCGCTCCGCAATCCGATGACGGGAGTGCCGCGCGCGCGGAAACTGAAGCTTTTTTCAAATATGGCCCGCCGCAATCTGATTGCCGCGCGCGCAGGTTGCTTCATGGGCGCCGGCGTCGCCCCGCAAAAAGCACGCGCGCGGGAAGTTGGCGCATCGACTGATGACAGGGCGCTCGCTCCGCAATCCGATCACGGGAGTTAAACTGAAGCTTTTTCAAGATGGCCCGCCGCAGTCTGATTGTGGGGGCGGAAAGCTGATTTTTTTTCTAAAGCGGCTCGACCTGCAATCCGATCACGGGAGTGCCGCGCGCGGGACGCTTGACACGCGCCGGCGTCGCCCCGCAAACAGCACGTGCGCGGGAAGTTGGCGCACCGCTAAGCCCCCCCCTCTTATGGCTCGCTCCGCAATCCGATCACGGGAGCGCCGCGTGCGCGGAAACTGAAGCTCTTTTCTCCAATATGGCCCGCCGCAAGGGGCGGAAAGCTGACCCTCTTTTCTAAAACGGCTCGACCTGCAACCCGATCACGGGAATGCCGCGCGCACGGGTTGCTTCGACTCTCCGGCGTCGCCCCGCAAAAAGCACGCGCGCGGGAAATTGGCGCATCGACTGATGACAGGGCGCGAATTTCTAAGCCCCCCCTCTTATGGCTCGCTCCGCAATCCGATCACGGGAGTGCCACGCGCGCGGGAACTGACGCTTTTTTCCAATTTGGCCCGCCGCACTCTGATTGCGGGGGCGGAAAGCTGACCCTCTTTTCTAAAGCGGCTCGACCTGCAGCGTGCGCGGAAACTAAAGCTTTTTCCAATAGGGCCCGCCGCAATTTGATTGCGGGGGTGGAAAGCTGACCCTCTTTTTAAAAACGGCTCGACCTGCAATCCGATCGTGGGAATGCCGCGCGCGCGCGCGCGCCGGAAGTTGGCGCATCGACTGATGGCAGCGCACAAATTTCTATCCCCCCCCCCACCTCTTATGGCTTTTTCCAATACGGCCCGCCGCAATCTGATTGCGGGGGCGGAGGCTGGCCCTCTTTTCTCAAACGGATGACGGGAATGCCGCGCGCGCGGGATGCTCCACAGGCGCCGGAGGCTGTGCGGAGTCTATCTTGGACCAAGGAAACCCTAAACCCGGCAAAGGGTAAGAGC